ACTGTGTCAGGAGATGTTAAAAATGAGGAGAGGAAATGATTCAGAGAGATTATGTTTGCTCAGAACATGGACAGTGCATCAAAAGTTGTAGTGGAATCAGAATGGTACTTCTTTGTCACTATACCACTGCAAACAACCTCAAATGTTGCTAGCAGTAATGCCAATATCGATCATTACACACTGGGCATTTTTACAAATTATTCTGTTTGGTTTTCACAAAACACCTCAATATTAATCTTGGTAGCATTGAGTGCTTTTTCATTTTCAGACATTTCTGAAACTACAGGAGACTTGATTACTTTAGTTTAAGTCCAACCTGATATAACAATATTAGGGTATTCTTATTATCTACTACGTGTCAGGGACTGTGTTAGATATTTTATTGCCATTATCTCATTTAACTCTCACATAAGTGAAGTATTATCATCTATAGTATACAGATGAGGAAACTGAGGTTCAAGAAGATTTAGTGGCTTAACCAAAGTAATACAGTTAATAAATGACAGAATTAGAAGTCAAAACCCAGGTTTATCCACACCCTTTCTCCTACATTACACTGTATAGTATTAAGATGAAACTATTAAATTCTATTATCAATTATATCTCTGGTATTCATTCAAATTATCTGAGTTTGCTGTTAAGAAAAAGGATGTAACATCGATCAATGATAACTACAGCATATAAAGATTTTACTATGTATGTTTATGTTTTTAGGGCCCCAAACTAAGCCCTAATGCATGTGAATCTAGGAAGTAGTGAGATATGTTAAAACACGAATCCATTGTATTAGGTAAACACTAAGAATTGCTACTGAAATGATGTCTCATTTAGAGAAGGCCTCTTCAGTCCTCCTTCAGGACAATGGGCAGCACAAAAAGTATCCGATTTAATGAGTTGTGTATGTAGAAAGAGACACTCATCTGTTTCCATGGAGTCAAACACATCACTGACATACTTCTCCATGGAAACAGAGAGGGGAAAACAGAAAATGCTAAAGTGAATGAATTCACTGAGCAGTTGGTGAACAAAGATTCAAGAAAAAAAATAATTCATCTGTAGTACTATGTCACTAGTTTAGAAAAGAGAAATAGCATATATTTAGAGATCATCAAACATGTGATACATCAAAGAATGTTTAAGATACACTGAAATTTAAGAAGAAACAGTTACTATTTTAGTATACAAATGCTGGGAAATACCATGGAGCAAAGGTATTACTGTCTGTGCACAGAGACACAATGGCACGATTCTTAAAAAAATGAGCAGTGTCACCCTCAGTCAGTAATGAGTCAGGAGTTCCTCAGACAAGATGATAGAAAACACAGGAACCCAATTTATACATAAATTTATCAGCTCTATACTAGATTCACATGATTGCCTTTTGGTTTTTAAGGATTTTCTCTCTGGGGATGTAAAATTATAGATTGTTCAAGTTTTATGATGAAACACATTAACTGATTTGTATGACTGAGCCACACAAATATAAGTGTTTTTAATTTATAACACACATTTTAACAGTTTTTTTAATTAAAATAATAAAGAATTCATTTTATATGATGATTTTTCTTGAGGCACTCTGACTTAAAACAATTTTTTTTCATCATGGGATTTATTCCCAACCTGTCTCTCAATTCAATTCAATTCAACTCAATTAATTTTTAGTCCTTGTCTTCAAGATGATAGATAGATTACTTGGTAGGAAAGATACCTAAAGAATGATTAAATATTGATTCATTCCTTCAACAAATATTCTTATGTGCCTACTCTGTGCCAAGCACTGTGTTGAATTTTGTGCATACGGTGATAAATTAAGCAAATCCAGTCTACTCTCATGGAAGCCACTAGCTTATGGAGGAGAAAGACAATAAAATAGTCAAACACGTAAATATACACTTATAATCTGAGACAAGTTCTAAGAAGAAAAACTACAGAGTGCCAAGAGAAAATACAATGAACAGTTTTAACTGGGATTGGATGGTTAGAGCAGGCCTCTCTGTAGAAGTGACCTTAAAGCTGAGACTTGAACGATAACTAAGAGTTAGTCAGACCGAGGATCCGGGGAACAGCATTTCAGGCAAAAGCCCTGAGACAGAAAAGGGTTTGGCAAGTTTGAAATGCTGAAAGAAAGCAAGTTTTTCTAGGAAGAGAGTGGTGCAAGGTGAGGATGGAGAGTGAAAGAGGTACACGTAGCCTTTTAAATTTTATTCCAAATATAATGGGAAGCAATTGAAGTGTTGGGCAGGAAAATGACACAATGGTACGTACATTTTTCAGTTGAAGTGAACATAGAATATTTAGCAAAAAAATTCAAAAAAGGCAAAATTAAACTACAGTGTTTAAGGATGTACTCTTATGTGGTAAAACTACAATGAAATAATTATTATAAAAGTTAAGATAGCAAATTACTCTAGTGGGCAGGGAAAGATGCATTAGAGGTTTCTGGGGGTATTGATAAGTCCTGTTCCTTGACTCAGGTGGTGGTTACACTGATGTTTGCTTTATATTTATTTGGCAAATTGTACATATAGGTTGTATGCACTTCTCTATGTGTATATTTCAAAATAAGGAAATACATTTCGTTTGCTTTTAATAAAAGAGTGGATTGAGGGGACAATGGGTGCAGATGGTTCAAGAAGCTTGATTTTGGTGACAGAGAGTGATAATAGCTGCCTCCCCCCATTCATTCTCCCATTCTTCTTTTTAGAAATTGAGCTCCCTGAGTTTTAGCTGGGCATGACACCATCCAGGGATTTTTTTTAAAAGATTTTTTTATCCTAGGCGTGGCTCTGTATTTAAGTCCGGTCCACCTCCTTAATGACAAATTGCTTTCTCTGTGCTCTCTTTTTCCCCCTTCCTGCTGACTGGGCTATGACTATGAAGAAAGTATCTGCCTTTGATGTAGAGATGGAAGCCACATGTTGAGAACGGCAGAGCCAAGCCCTGGCAGAACACCTGAATGGTTTTGTGAAGTAGAGATATCTACCCAACCTAGACTCTTCACGTACCTGTGTACTATTATGAGAATGAAATATACTTCTATCTTATTTAAGTCATGGTTGTAGCAGTTTAGCCTGTGCACTAATGCAGCTCTGAGGGAAAGGTGAGAGAGATGGCAAAACCTAGAGGGGAATGAAGAAACAGGGAAGGGATTTTTAAACAATGGAGACAATAGAACATATTTAAATGTTGATGGGGAGAATTTAGAATAGAAGAAAAGGTTGAAGATGTAGTAATCAGAGGGGGAAAAAAAGGATCAAGGTCCCTGAGAAGATAGGAGGGGACAGAACATAGACCATGTGTACAAGAACTGGCCTTTGACAGAAAGAGAGATCTTTGTTCTGTTTTAGTAGGAAGAGAGAAGAAGATGGTGCAGGGTGTAGGTAGGTTTGTAGATATCACGCTGAAAGATAAAGGGGTTCCTACTTATTGTCTTTATTTTCTCTAAGAAGTGTAATACATTAATGAGAATGAAGCGGGGCGGGGTGTGGGGAATTGGCAGAGTGAGAAGGTATGAAACCTTCATTATGGAGAAATGTGGTACGATGAACAGTAGGTGCTGAGTGCCTATCTGAAGTGGGTAATATGAATTTGGGGTGATGGTAATCTTTCACGTAGGTTCAACTGCTCAGGGGTTGCCAGCATGATCCATCCGGAGTTGGGACTGCAACAGCCAAGTGCAACAGAAGATGAGGAAAAAAGGGAATCTTTCCAAGATAAGGATTTTAATCATAGATCATGGAATTAGGGCTGAATAGGGAAGAAGGTAAAAGAGTAAAGAAAGATGGAAACTGATGATCAAAACTAGAGAAGATACTAGATTAGAAGTCTCAGTAGAGATGAAAAACTATTGCTTCTCACTAGTAAGTGAGCTGAAAGTAAGAGTTTTAGCTGAGTGATGGAATGTTTAAGTGATTTGGAGGTGGTGGAAGATGTCAAGTTCCAGTGAATGTAGAAAGCTGAGGTGAAATGAGGATAACATCTCTGAGAGAGGAAGAGAAATCTTCACAGAGTATGTGATAAAATAGTAGTCTTTAAAGATCAGTAGGAGTTTTTTTTAGTAGAGAAGAAGATAACAGGGTAGCAGAGAGAGAAGAGGAGAGTGAACAGAATGTATAGAGAAAAGTAAGACAAAATTCGTGGCATATTAGGGAGCCGAAATAACATCTAGCCTAGCCAGAAGTTAGGGTGCACTGGTAGAAGTTTCTGGAGAAACTGGAAATGTAGAATGAAAACAAATTTTGAAGGAACAGGTATGAAAGTTTTATTATTAAATCATCTGGACTTCATTTTGTAACCCAGGTTGTCAATCATGATGTCACCAGACATTGGTGTATACAAAGATTACAAATAATTTATATTTTTATTTTGTTTATTCTCTTTGGGACTTGTGAATATGTGGATTTGTGGTTTTTACAATTCTGGAAAATTCTTAGCCATTCTGTTCTTGAATAATGTCTCTCCCCTATTCACTTTGTTCTCTCCTTCTAGAACTTCAACACTGGACCTCTATATATCATTTATACATATAAATGATAAGGAAACCATTGAATCAATCTGATTCAATTTTAAATCATTCAAAATTAAACTATTTATAAACCTAAGTACTTTAGGTATATATTAAATGTTAAAAGATCATTATTTACTCTCTCATTCCATATCTCTATTATTATAAAGATAAATTAATTCCCTTAGCACCTTAGAATTGGCATTTCCATTCAGTGCCAAATACATAGAAATTTCTCAGGTACACCTAATCCTAATCCATATTTTTAAGTTTCAGGACTTAATTTCTTTCTTGTCCAAGTGTTGGAAGAAAACGTAAATAACAATATATATTCGCACTAAAATGTAAGAGTACATTGCAAATTAAAACTAAGATTAAGAAACTTCCTTAGGACAAAGAATTATTTTTAAAGTTTTTGTATTTAAAAGGACTGCTTACCTATTATGAGCCTCTGAAGAGCACCCTTATCTCCATTAACAGCAGCAGCATGAACTTGAGATGCTAATGAGGAACCAGTACAGAGCAAGTTCTCTGACTTGTTCATAGTCTTCTCAACAACTGCAGCAACATGAAACAATGATTCAGACAATGAGCATATGCAGGAAGCATTTATAAAACCTGTTTCATCAGGCTCGGCATGGTGGCCTATGCCTATAATCCGGGGATTTGGGGAGGCTGAGGCAGGAGGATTACTTGAGGTCAGGAGTTCAAGACCAGCTTGGGCAACATAGCTAGACCCCATCTCTACAAAAAATTTTAAAAATCAGCTGGGCATGGTGGTGTGCACCTGTAGTCCCAGCTACTTGGGAAGCTGAGGCAGGAGGATCGCTTGAGTCCAAGAATTTGAGGTTATAGTAAACTATGACTGGGCCACTGCACTTCAGTCTGGCCAACAGAGTGAGACCTTGTTTCCTAAAACAAACAAACAAACAAAACAATCTGTGTCATCAGTTCCAAGTGGGTATGTTCTAAACATGGTTTGCTAGAAATATTTGACTAGGATTTGAAAAACTTATAGTCCTAGTCCTAGAATTGCCATAATGTGGCAAATTAGGCAACCTTTGCACAAACTGCAAATCTATAAAATGAGAGGGTTATGTGTTTCCAAGACCCTTCTCAGGGGCTATTTCAGGAAAAAAAAAAAAAAAAAAGACTCAACATTTAACATTAGGCACAGGGTTCAAAAGAGGCTGGGCGCAGTGGTTCACGCCTGTAATTCTAGCACTCTGGGAGGCCGAGGTGGGTGAATTGTTTGAGCTCAGGAGTTGGAGACTAGTCTGAGCAAGAGTGAGACCCCATCTCTACTAAAAAAAATAGAAAGAAATTATCTGGACAACTAAAAATATATAGAAAAAATTAGCCAGGCATGGTGGCACATGCCTGTAGTCCCAGCTACTCAGGAGGCTGAGGCAGGAGGATCACTTGAGCCCAGGAGTTTGAGGTTGCTGTGAGCTAGGCTAACACCACGGCACTCACTCTAGCCAGGGCAACAGAGTAAGACTGTCCCAAAAAAAACAAAAACAAAAACAAAAAAAGTCACGGTGACTTCTAAGTTAATACAAATAATATGATTACACATAATATTAAACATTAGAATTGATACTGAGAATAAAGCTGATGACCAAACCGCTAAAAGAGTAAGATGTAAACTTAATTGTCAAGTCAGAATTAACTAGATTTAAGTGCTAAATTAAAAAGTACCTAGTTTTTTCCCTCATGCCCACAAAGGGTGAGATTTTTATGTTTTCTCCTTTGTCCATTAGGAAAATATACCTAGTTTGAGATCCTGACCTTAGGATCTTACTTGGAACACCATATCATTAGGATTAACCTTATTTCATTATGGAAAATTTTGTTGTGACTGGTAGTCTCATGCAGCTTGTTAGAACCTTTTAAAAATGCATCAGCTGCACAGGAAAAGTGAGTTCCCTATCATAAGAGTGTTTAAGCAGAGGCTGGACTATGTCAGAAATGCAGCAAGAATTCAAGCATCTAATGGGAAGAAAAGAGGGCTATTTGCATCAATGATCTTAAACATCCTTCCTAAACCTAAGACGTCATATGAAAGTTTCAAAGTTGAATGCCTGCAAGGACCAAGGAGGTAACAAGCGTAAGAAATGTAGGGAGTAATGGGATCATGGCAAACTGGAGCACACATACTTATCTAAAGGGAGTAGCTGTTAAATCAGCTCCAGTTAACTGCTGCTACGAGGGTAGGCAAGTCCTCTTCTGATTTCGCCAAAAAGCATGTTACTCCAATTTCTGTGACTCCTGGGGATCTGGGAGTTTTGTAAGATAATTTTATCACAACTGGTGAACCAGTACTTGTATTGTCATTCACGGAGGATTATTGGTTCAAATTCTACCTTAGAGGGAACACATTTTCTTAAATTATGGTAAAGATCAGCTCTTCATGTCTTTATTTTGCTGACAATTTGAGTTAACATGCTGGCAGAAAATATGGAGGAAGAGGGTGCTGTGAGACTTCTGTCATGTCTGAGAATGTCTATCATGTCAGAAGAGCCACTGTCATATGCAGGATTGTATTAAAGCCACCTGAGAGAAGGTACAAAACAGAGGTGGAGGTAGAAACATGGTAAAGGAGTACTTGCACTTGGGTTCTAGGCCTGGTTAGGTTAATAATAAGCAATGTGTCCTTAGGCTACCTTAGCTCTCTGGGTTTCTGTAAAATATGTAAAACGAAAAAGGTGGACCACGTTCATTCATTCAACAAGCTGAGCGCTAACTATGTGTTAGGCACTGTACTTAACTTTAAGACCTGTCGTTTCAGATTCTAAGTGATCAGAGTTTTAGGTACATGAGAATCACAAAAAAATTTATACCCTTTGAAAAATGTACTAAACACTAGATCTGTTATATATATATATATATATATATATACACACACACATTTCACTTCATAATTCTTAGCACTAAGCACACTAACAGGTATATAGCTGGTGCTCAGTAAATGTTTGTTGAATGCAAGGTCATAGGTTGAGTGCTAAGTCCAAAGGGTCAGCAGGATTAAAGTTCAATTTCTGGGAATAACAAGTTCATGCTTGTGAGTCCCTGCTCTTCAACTATATTTGGGCTTACTTGGGCTCTGTCCGAGATGTAGATGAATGGTATAGAGACAAGAGCACTGAACTAAGAGTCAGGGAGCTAAGTAAGAGTATTGGCTCTGCCACTATCTAATTTTGTCATCCTGGGAAAGCCAAGTTCTAGAGTTCTTTTTAGCACAAATATATTTTTTTAGCACTTTTTTGTAAATCATTTTTTTAATAGATGAAAATCAAAACCACCTTTTTAAAGGGCTACAAAATGCAAAGTTACCATCATTAACTAATTATAAAACAAGATCGTGTAATAAAGCTCTAACAAATTATAACGGTACAAAACTAGTGGTGTTGCAGTCACACACAAAGGAAGAGTAACTCTGATTAGGACTAAAGGGTTGGTTGTTGGGGAAGTTCTCAAAGATGGTGACATTTAAGATGGCATTTCAGAAAGAGAAGGGCATAAAGCCATTCCAGGTAGCAAGAAAGCTGGAGCAAAGGCAGGCAGTAGGGAGAACCACAAAGGCGCCGAGCGCCTCCTGAGTACTCAGTAGTGACCGTGTGTGGGCGCCTGTACTGGCTGAGTGTTTACAGAAAATGCTGCAGAGCTACCTGGGGCCAGGTTGAGCTCCTCGACTGCTGGGCTAAGGAATTTCCTAATTATCCTGCAGGAGTGATTCACGGATTAGCAGCAATCACTCTCGCACTGAGCTTTTCATTTTAAAAGGTGCTTTCCTATCCCTTACCACATTTACTCCTTACACAAGCCCTCTGCGACAATTAGGGATAAGTCAGACATTGACTCATTCAACCGAGGCCCTGAGAGGTGGCTCCGACTTTATAATGCAGGAATTAGCGCAGAAAGAAGCAGCAGCAGGCGAGGAGGCCAATGAGGAGGCTCAGGCCACAACCCAGGCCAGGAGGGCCGTAAGTCTGCAGCAGGGACCAAGGCGGTACAGACCAAGCCTCCCAAGCCAGGCCCACTCCTACTCACCCTCGCCTCCTCCAGGACTGATGTCCCGGGGGCGGCTCCAAGAGGCGCGACCCGAACCCAGGCCGCCCCTCCCGCCAGGCCAGGACACTACACCCAGCTGGGTCAGCCCCCACAGCTCCAGAGCTACCAGAGCTAGAGGAGGCCCCCAGGAGGCCGCCTGAGGCGCTCGGCCGCACAGCCCTCTGGGAATTGTAGTTCCCGCCGTCTGAAGCGCGGAGGTACAACCTCCCTCCACCCTTTCTATCCCACAGGGCCTCACGCGCAGCGGACTCGGTGGACCTGGGCCGAGAGCCTAATGGGAAAGGGAGTTCTAGATGTCCGATGACGTACTCGGCGAGGTTACTTCAGGACTACATTTCCCGACATGCCCCACGGCGAGCAGGACCCGGAAGTGAGGGTGTGCGAGGCCTCTCTGGAAGTTGTCCCGGGTGTTCGCCGCTAGAGCCCGGGTCGAGAGGGCGAGGTGTAGCTGCCGGGAGAATCCTCCGCTGCCGCCGGCTCCCGGAGCCTAGCCCTTTCCTAACCCAACCCAACCCAGCCCAGTCCCAGCTGCCAACACCTGTCCCTGCCGTGGACCCCAGCGTTACCATGAATCCTGCGGTCTTCCTATCCTTACCCGACCTCAGATGCTCCCTGCTGCTCCTGGTGAGTAAGTGAGGGAATGACAGACCCTTCGACAGAGGCACGAACGGCCTCCCACCTTCGCCGAGGGGGAACACTGCTGCCCCTGCTTTCCTCTCTTTTCCTTCCGCGGTGAGGGGTGTACCCTCCTTCGCTGCTTTCTCTCCCGTTATCCATCTGTTCGCTTCCAGGCCCGGGGTCCCCAGGGCCCGAGAAACCACGGTCAGGGGTTGGGACCCGTAAACAGGAGAATTAGCCTGAGGGGAGTAAAAGGGTCACGAAGGAGCTTTCCCTTACCCCTGGAGTACGGTGGTTGTTTGGGTTTCGAGGGCTAGTGGACCTGTGGTAGCTTGAATCGGAAAGGACCGAGGATAGACGTAGAGTTCTCTTTTACCCCTCTCCATTTGGGAAGGGTGTGGGGCCGACAGGTGCTGGGGTCGTGTGAATCTCACTCTGGAACCCTGAAACAGTGCCCGGGTTGGCGGAGCCGTCTGTTGTGGCTTGATGCGATTGGCTGGGAACCCGGAACTGGAGACTGGTTTGGTGTCCACTGGGGGAATAAGGGTATAAGGGGTGGAGGGTCTGATGACCTGACAGCCTCAGCTCAAGGCCTCTCTCAAGTCTTGTTACATACACCCTATTACCCCAAACCCTTCACTGAAGCAGATTTCTTCTTCAGTGCTCCTTACTTGAGAATGACCAGGTCTTCTGCATACAAAAGCACTCAGTGCCTTAACTGCCAAATCTACTCAGCATCGTTCCATCTTACAAAATAATTTTTCCCTAGTATCTCTTTCTCCAAAGTACATCTTGAGTGTGCAACGTAAGTGATCCAGGCTTCAGGTCAAATTGAGACAAATGTGGAGAACTAAAATGACGTATATGTACATTTAATTAGCTGTTATTATAATGCAGTATTTGAAAATAATTGAAATGGAGTTTTAGAAATTCAAATTTAAGATAAACATTAAGAACCACTTTCTTTACAATTTAAGAAACAATTAAATGACTCACAGGAAGTCTTATAGCAGGTTACTGGCAGAACTGGGATTAGAAACAGGTTTCTTGAATTGCAGTGCTTATTTCACCATTATCACACTAAATTTTTTAATATTTGTATTTGAAATAGTTCCCTTTCTCTCCTCTCATCTCTTGTTCTCTCTCTCTTCTTATCTCACTTAAACCTTTTCAAGAAGAGCACTAAAAATACCTAAATGGAATGTCAAAGTACTTTTGAGAACTAAAAGTTGTATGTAAACATGGTAATATTCAGTGATCGTCTTATTGCCACTTCTTGTAAGTATTCAACAGTGAATGACTTCTGTATGGAGGAAAATATTCTGTACAGTGCTGTTTCTGGGTGATTTCATTATACACTGATTTTTTTTTTCCTTCTAAAAGTGTTGGAATAATAAAGTTATTAGAGACCACTATCTCCTTAAGGACACTAGATACTAATATTTTCCTTACCTGTAAATTGGCTTGAATTATGAATTATGTGCTAGAAATTACTTTTAGGTTATCAAAAAGCACAAAGGGCAAAAATTTTAAGACATTGGAAACAAAAGTTGAGATATTGAGTACGTAAACGATATCAGATGCACTTTCCTCAAATGGTATGTTTGGCTGTAGAGCTAAGTTTAAGAAGGAGAAAGAATTTATTTTGAAATAACTCATGTTTTTTGTAGAAAATCTGTTAATTCTGTTAAATATATACAGGAAGAGATTTTTTTCCAAATAAAGTCTAGATTTAAATAAAATCTAGTTACTATTTTGTATACATATCTTTCTATGCAAATGTAAATGAGTAGAAACCTTGAAGACGTAGAGAATACCTGTAAAGATGAATGGGCTGGAAAATAAAGCCCCAGAAAAGGTTTAATAAACCAGAATTACAGGTCAAGCTAGATTCATTTAAATAAAGTGTTTACCTAGTTTTGGTAATCACATACTAGTTAGCAAATATTTATAAAACATCTATCCTGTCTAATCACAACTTTTGAGTTGCTTGTCTTTGAGTTATTTATCCTGGTGATGTAACGTGCTTACTCAGAATCCCACTTGTCTAATAATTTCTCCTCTTTGTTCCCCAGTGTACTTTCTTCCTCCTCCTCCAGCTCTCTCAGACAAGTTTATTCCTTCCCACATACAACCATAGAAAACCCAAATTCCCACTTAGCTGAGGTAATCATTTTTTCCTTAAATAGCTTGCTCCAAAATACCATATATTCTCTTACTATAATATTTTCTTTAGGCGCTTTATACTTCGGCCCTCAAGAACTAGACCTATTCATAGATAGTGGTGTTCATAAGATAACAGCTGAAAGATAATCCTAAACTTTTGGAGGCAAGTAGCTATCTTTCCCTGATTTCAAAAGCATTTTGGAACATTTCACTCCATGTCTAAAAAGCCTTTCTCAATGGATAACTAAACACAAAAGCTCAATGTGATAACTTTTTTCCTGAGCTTTCCTATATATTTAAATAAAACAAATAATATTTATAAAAATTAGCCCTTTTCTGTTTATCTTTTTATCTAAAATGGCTTTATTCTGGATTGAAAGTAATCATTTTCCTCTTAGAGTAATTATTTCTTAGCATTGTTCTTCTACATTGTTTGTGTACAAGAGTTTTGAAGAGATGAGGAATAAATTGGAATGAAGTTGTCTCATATATCCTCAGTAACTACTTATGTGACTCAAAGAATTGTAGCACTCCACTCCAGTCGCTTTATTGAAGACATTTTCTTGTTAATCTCTTGATAATTATGTTTAGTCCTAATTGCCCTGCGCCTCAACAGTTAAAATTTTTTCCATTGTTGTTCCTGGTTTGTTCAATATATATAGGAAGCCAAGAAAAGTTTGTTTAGGGAGCTAAGTAAATTTAGAGAGCTAAGTAAACATTTAATCTTCATAAGTACCTTAAAAATAAGTACAGTAGAATCAGAGATGTCAGTTTTAGACATTACTGCAATAATACATGCAGATTCCAATCTTTAAGATGAGTACTTTTGGAGGCATTGTAGTTGGCTTGATAACCAGGTGAGTTATTTATACTGTTGGGGTAACTTTCCCCAGATCAGTGTTTTTACAAAACCTGCCTGCTCATTAGAATCATCTGTGGCAGTTTTATAAAATGATGTCTGAACCATGTATGAAATCAGTTATATCTGTGGGACCCAGACATTAGTTTTTTAAACACATTTCCCAGGTGATTTTTTTTTTTTTTTAGTGTGTCTCTAAAAGATAAGAATTAAGAAACAAAACAAAAACTAGAATACCATTGTCACATCTAGAAAAATTAACAGAGAATTCCTTCATAACATCAAATATCTAGTCAGTGTTTGGATCTTCCTTTCTTTCTTTCAACATTGATTATTCAAAACAGAGACCATATACAATCCATACATTCCAATTTGTTCATATGTTGCTTATAAAACTTTTTAAACCTATAGGTTCCCTCTCTATCTCATCTTTTTTCCTTGTAATTTATTTAGGAAACTGGATCCTCTGTCCTGTAGAATTTCCTGCATTCTGGATATTGCATCCTCACGATACGGTTTTATGTTTCTTTGTTCCTTGTGTTTCCTATTTATTTGAAATTCAGTTTATGTAGTCTTAACCACCAGCTCAGTATATATTGTTAGGTTCATTTGTTTCCTTTATCTTTCAATCTTTGGTTTTTAAAAATTTATCTTTTATTTTATAATTATGTAAAATTTATTGCTTCCAAAGCCAAATCTATAAAGCAAACTATATTCGGGTAAGTCTAACGTCTATCTGTCTTTTCTATTGTCTTACCTCCTTCCTAATATAGGAAAACTTTTTTTTTCATTTTTCGATTTTATGGCCCTTCCTTTTTTTCTAAATGTACAAGCTATTTGTATTTATGTATGTATATATTTGTTTTTCCCTCCCCATTGATTAAACTCTAGCATATTATTCCTACTTTTCTTCACCTATTTTTAACTTAAAAATTTATTTTAGAGGTGAAAATAGAAATATTTTGTATTTCTTTTTAACTGCTTATGCTCCACTAGGTAGATTTATAAATCCTCTGTTGTTACCATTCTTTTGCTATTACAGACAGTTCATCAAATGGTAGTTTGTGCATACATAATTTTGATAGTGTATCTTTGATTTCTGTAAGTAAAGTTGCTAGGGCAAAAGGTTAATGTATATGTAACTTTGTAGATGTTGCTATATATTTTGAAATTCATCTGTATGGGGGTTGAGCCATTTTGTGATTTCCCTATAGCCTTGCTAACAAGGTTTGATGTCAAATGATTGGGTATTTGTTAGTCTGATAGGTGAGAAATGTTATCTCAATGTATGTTAATTTATGTCCCTTTATATGAATGTGATTGAGCTTTCTTATTTGTAAAGGTCATTTGCATTTCTCTTTGTATGAACTGTCTTTCTGTTTCTAGCCTGTCTTCTATAGAACTGTTGGTCTGTTTCTGGATGCTAGACACACACACACACACACACACACACACACACACACACACAAACACAGAGTTCTTAACCCTTTATATTCTTAGTTGATTCCATGATGTACACAGGGTTGAAAGGCACTGGAATACACCACCCTATGTGAATTCAATCATATGTCCAATGGATTAAAATTTGTAAAAGCCTTGAAGAAGATGTCTCATTGCCACAGTTATTGAAAACTTCTTCTAAATTGTATACTATGATTTTTAATAGCTTTTAAAAGCACCTCAGTCTTTAAATTTAAATGCACTATAATTTACTTCATCTTTTAAGACATTTGGTTATTGGTTATTGCCAATTTTTCAGAGTTATAAAAGATATGCATACAGTGATGTTCACTGCAAATGTCCAAATATATCCTCAGGATACTTTTCTAGAATTATATTTTTTGGGTCATATGGTATGTTTTATATTTAGGATTTCTGATACATTGTACACATTGCCCTACTGAAAAGTTGTACCAGTATGTATTCCTACCAGCAGTGTATGAGTAGGCCCACTTCCTCACACTTCAGTCACAGTGGGTGT